TTGACACCAAGTATTCCAATACCGGCTGAGGCAGTTAGGGGGGTGCTTTGAAACTGAGGAGAGACGACCAACGGCAGTTTCTTAGCGGTAAACACGCAGACTTGTGTCTTAGTGGGGTTAAATTGGACCAAATTAAGTCCACCCCAATCAGAGATTCTCCCTAAAGAGGTCTCGATTTCAGACACGAGTCTGTTTCGGCTCTCTATGACGTTTTCCCGAGAAATGTTAGCGCGGCCGGTGTAGTAGGCATCGCCTGTGCTGTCATCCGCATAACAATGAATGCCGCTGATTTGCAGCATGTCATTGATATGGAGGAGGAACAATGTAGGCGATAGCACGCAGCCTTGAGGGACGCCTGCATTTACAGACATCAAGTCAGAGCATTCACCGTCGACGACGACTTTAATGCTTCTGTCTGCAAGGAAGTAGGAGACCCATTTGCATAATTTCTCGGGAAGTCCGTAGGAAGGAAGCTTCGAAAGAAGCGCTCTATGCCAAACCCGATCGAAGGCCTTCGCCACGTCTAAACTTACTGCCAACGCTTCCCCCTTAGACTCGATCGCCTGTGCCCACCGATGCGTTAGGTAAACAAGGAGATCACCAGCAGACCGACCTTTACGAAAACCGTATTGCTGGTCACTGAGCAGCTGATGATCCTCTAAGTAACGCAGGAGCTGGCAGTTAATAATGGACTCCATTATTTTCGAGAAGAGGGAAGTTATGGCTATCGGTCTGTAGTTAGACGGGTTAGATCGATCACCTTTTTTAGGGATTGGGTGGACTAAAGCTGTCTTCCAGGACGTCGGAACTACGCCTGAGGAATAAGAGAGCCGAAAAAGACGTGTGAGAACTGGGGCCAACTCGGGGGCGCACATCTTCAAAACAATGGGTGGGATCCCATCAGGCCCGCTCGACTTATGGACGTCAAGGGATAAAAGCGCCAAACGTACCGTGCGCTGGTGGAACCGCACATCCGGCATATACCTTCCGCACCAAGGCACAACAGGAGGCTCGCGCCCACCGTCATCCAGTGTCGAGTTGGACGCAAAGATTTTTGCCAAAAGTTGAGCCTTATCCCTTGCGTTATGAGCCAACGAATCCTCACCCATGTGCAGAGGTGGAAATGACGGCCTGCAGAAATTGCCCTCGATAGCTTTGGCGAGCGACCAGAATGAACGAGTTCCTGATATTATCACAGAAATATTAATATTATGAACTCCTGCACTGCTGGGCCGGCTCGACCGGAGTGATACCACCAACGAGCAGAAAACCATAACAAAACAACCACAGCGTTGTGTTTCGTCGTGTGAGTGTAAGTTCCCCAATCTCCCCGAATACCCAACAATCCTCAAATTTCTTATCCTCAAAAGGCCGGTTAACACACTTGTAACGCCTCTAGTGTTCCAGGTGTCCATGGCCGACGCCGATTGCTTACCATCAGGTGATCCATCTGCACGTTAAAATAGGAAAACTTGTGTTAGTGTGTAGGTATGTTAATTACCCACGTCAAAACGGCTAAAGGGATCGTGATGAAATTTGAAACAGGGCTAGATTGTGGTCTGGGATAACATATAGGCTACATTTTATCCCACGGGGGGGGGGGGGAGGCAGCTGGCATAAGCTAGTCCGTTATAATTTGTTGAATGTTTTTTCAGTACATTGACATGAGGTCACGTGTCAGACCGCCGTCGCTCGTGTGCTGCCAATATTTGCACTAAACTAAACTTAATGTTTGTTTAAAACTTTAACTTGTATCTATAGCTATAGCTGACTGGTTACATTTTTCAAATCAATTACGACTTAATTCTGTAAGGAAGAAGGTTGAATTTTAATGTTTGTTGATGATTGGGGTAAAAGCTGTATTGAGTTATGATCACGTTTCGTATATTTTTCGCTGGTGTTTTAATGCGTTATAGTAACTGAACGTATATTATTACTATATCGGTACTAGTTACTATACAAACTGAGCTTCTAGTGGAGAAATAATCGTCTTTTTTTTAAGGGGGGAAAATCATCAAATGACTGCTCCCACCTAGGTGAGGCAGGAAGGAGTGTCAGACTCTTCAAAGTCAAAGTGAAAAGTCAAAATCATTTATTTTAATTAGACCAGAAGGGCACTTTTGAACGTCAAGAATAAAATTATAAGTGAAGTTATTTGCTCATTCCAATGTGTAGATTCCTATGTAGAAGAACGAGCAAGGAACTCCATAGGTTACTCTTTTTCAATCAGGTTCACAGTACAACAATTCTTACTGACTAAAAACCACCCCGTTCCTTCACGTCGAGCCAGAGCCCCGGTAACCCGTTAGGTTCTCCGCAACGAAATAATCGTCTAAGTAATAATTTTCAGTATATTATTTTATATATGGATTGTCAATCATATGTGAGGACCATGTCAGACTTAAGATATTTGTTTTCTCTTGGTTTTGTTTTTTTTTTCCATTTTAGTATGTTCTGTTATTTGTATGTTGCGTCAGGTATGTCTTTACATTATTCTCACATGTGTGTACAATATTGGAATATGTATCAGAGCAATGTAAAACAGACTTTTTTTATAAGAGTAACGAATGGAGTTTCTTGCTCGTTCTTCTCCACTCGAATCGACATTTTGGAACGAGCGCCTAGCTTCACTGACGGACAGACTGACAGACTATTATATATCTCATATTTGTTGACGTTTCAAAAGTACCAAATTATGGTTTAATTGAAATAAATGCTTTTGAGTTTGAATTTGAGTTTGTCCGTCTGGTAGATTAAACTGTCAAACACCAAGCGGTCACCGGTGACCGCAACCTATTGTTCTATAATTGTGTCTGCAAAACCGGTACTCGACGAGTTAATTAAAAATTTTAGACATGCATATTTTCTTTTCTCACAAAATTAAATACTTTTGACGATATATTAATTTGAAATATCGTGTGACGTCACCTCCCACTCCTAAACTTAGCGCCATTTTAATACCTGCAAGAAAATAAAAAAATACGTGTCTAAAATTTTTTCATTTCCATAGTCTCTGCTTACCCCCATGGGAGACAGGCGTGAAGTTCTGTATGTATGTGTAATTTGGCGAATGCTTATGTTCAGCAGTGGACGTATAGTGGCTGTTATAATGATGATACCTACATATTATGTACATACATACTTATGGACATCCGGTGGGCAGAACTAAAGGTGACAATAAATTGACGCGACTCCTAATTCAATAATGAAGGAAAATAAACATTGTACTGACGTCATCAGTTTCTGAGATGTGTCCGTGATAGACAAACATACAGGTGGTAGAGTTTGTCATCATGCGTGTTAATCTGTAGATAGATGATTTTTATTATTGTAAGCACTTTTTAGTTGTAAGGCTAAGGACCAACGAGCAGAAACCCGACGTGAAACAACGCCTGCGTTTTGTTCCGTCGTTTGAGTGAGGTTACTGGAGACCCAATTATCTTACCCCCTTTCCCAATCTCCTTAATCCCTGAATCACAATCCTCAAATTCCTAATCCCAAAAGGCCGGTAACGCACTTGTAACGCCTCTGGTGTTCCAGGTGTCCATGGGCGACGCCGATTGCTTACCATCAGGTGATCCGTCTGCTCGTTTACCAGCTTATTCCGTACAAAAAAGAAAATGACTACAATCCAGCAGTGGACACCCACTGTTGATGTTGAATGATAGCGATAAGTTCTAAGATCAATGACAGATCAACTCCTGCGCAAATCATCCGCATAACACTCCGCGATCAATGACTAACTCTCAGTATTGCACTAACGCGCTCACCTATAGCACGCATCACTTGTAAAATATTAATTTTTTTAAATAATTATTATATAATACAAATAATAGTAGAGTCATAAATATTGTTGTTTATTAATAGTAAAGTTGTCCTATATTGTTGTGGGTGGATTTTAGTGTTTCATTAAATTTAGATTTTAAAATTTTTGGTAAGTTGTAATTTTATTATTTTATATTTATTATTTGTCAAAATATTTTTTCGTTGAATTAGTACGTAAAATATGTTCTCCTCTTTTTCACTTGTTACATCAAGAGTTCGTTTCTAATAAGGGACAAACAATTTACAAAAAAATATTAACAAACGTCGAATACAATATTTTAGGTATTTATATAGATATTTATAAATACAATGACAGTTCAATTTATGTTTAATAATAATTATTAAAAACAAATAAAAATCTGAATTTTAAAATTATGCGTTTATCGAAGTGTAATAAGTATATTATTAAATATTAAACAAAAATTATTAAGTAACTTCGTTTACGTCAATTATAATATTTTTGTATGAAAATTTTCATGAAAATTATTTAAATAAAAAATGAATTAGACCTAGTCATAATAAAACTCCTCTAACTCCAGTCTAAATAAAAATTAATTTAGGTAAGTACTTATATAAGACTAAATCTTATGATTTAGAATGAAATAAACTAATGTGTTGCTTTTTAAAATTAAGAAACAACATTTAATGTTTTATTCTATAATACGTTTAAAAAAACCACAGACTAATTGACAATAGTAGTGAATTCAAAAGTAAAGAAAACCTTTTTTCTTTACACATATAATACAAAATCGATTCGAAAAAAAAAATTAAAATTCTAAACTTTTAAAGCCTAGACGAATTCAAAAATGTTAGATTAGGTAAGATTATACTAAATTCAGCCATAAATCAAATAATAATTAAAAACCCATTCACTTGTAACAAGCGTAATAATTAATAATACTAACTACATGTTATTAAACATTGCAAATATTGCAACACACGGGTATCGAACTCACGACCCTGAGCGCTCTACTAAAACCATTGACGTCTCATGGTTACTGTTTGACATTCACATCGCTCTTATTGCTACAGTCATAAGGTATAGAATTGCAGGTGATATATTTTTAATAGGCTCTATTCTACCAATGAAGCCCTGTCGTTTGGTATCCACAATGGAGGTAGTTGTGGAAACAATTAGATAATATTGTACGGTCATCAAGATTAAGAGTGTGTACCAAATATCAGATCGATCTGTCGTCGGGAAGGGGGTGACATTACAATTACTAAAGACCCGAACAAACAAACGGGGCGAACTAAATAAAACCGATTAATCTATATACATACACACATAAATGTAATAAATATGTTATGTAGTTATTTTTGTATCTGGACTGCCTCGTTGACCGAGTGGTCGCAAGTATGACTGCCGGGCAAGGGGTCTCGCGGGTTCAATTCCCGGGTCGGGCAAAGTAGGTACTACTGAGTTTTTAAAATTCTCAGTAGTAGCACAGAGTCTGGAGTTGTGCCCGGTATATGGCAATAGGCTCACCCCCTATTACATGGGACTCATAACATAAATAGTGAAAAGTGAGTGTTACATTATAAAGTGGCATTAAGTGCCGTAATGCGCACCTCTGCCTACACCTTCGGGGATAGAAGGCGTAAAGTTATGTTGTTGTTATTTTTGTATTATAACTTCCGTGAGACATACTAAATGAATTATTATGTTTTCGACTACTCACGTTACTGTTTGACTCAGAACTCGACTAGTTTCAAGCCATGCTAGAGGCTCATATTCTTGAGCAGCATTCCGCAACACGCGACGCGGCGACTTGCTCTGCTACCGTCTAATATGAGCCTCTAGCATGGCTTGAAATTAGTCGAGTTCTTCGACAAATAATTACGTGAGTAAGTCGAAAACATAATAATTTATGTTAGTTATTTATTGAAACATATGCATAAGTTAACTAAATCGTTTGTCGTCGTTGCGTTTATTGAGATCCAAACATTGCTGCGACTAGCCCTCTGATTGGTTGGTTCATTGAAGCAGGCCAATCAGGTCCTCTGTGTATCTGAATGCACCTTACGTAGGTAGCTACGTGCTGAGTATTGTTTATATCATCGCTTTAGTTCTGCTGACCTTGTGCTGAGCGCGCGTGATGATGCGTCCACTGTCATGTACCTCTAATGTACACTGCAATGTATTGTTTATTTGTCTGTGTGTCTGTAGGTATAACTTCACCATTTTCTTATTTAATTTTACTCCTGTGTCGTGTGTTGACAATTTTATACATAACATCACGCCTTTTATCACCGAAGGCGTAGACAGAGGTGCGCATTACGGCACTTAATGCCACTGTACAAT